GAAAGTATCCCTTCTGCTAGGAGCTGCTTCTGTTAGCATGCCCTTCCCGGATGCTCACGGGGAATTGTTGATTTTGATCATACATCTCTCAGCGTTTGCCATCCCAGACTTGGGCAGCATCCTGACTTCCTACAGCTTTTCATTTGCTCAAAGTCAGAGAAAAACAAGCTAAGTGTTTATTGCTAGCATCCTCTGTCTGGAAGCTTATCTGAATGCTGGTTTCTGCATCTGAAAGACTCTAGCCACAGGCTATAGAGTGGTACAAGGTCTGGCAAAATAATGAAGAGCCCCTTTCTCTTAAATGAGAGTCTAGGACCTGGCAGGTGCCCTAAAGTCAGTTTACAGACAGGGAACTGATGGATCCAAGCAGGGTTGAAATCACCAGTGCAGGAAAAGAATGCTGAAAGATCTAGAACATCTGTGTCCTGGGATTCAGTTATAGGAAGCACAGTTACCTTTACATTTACTTATTTATTTATTATATGGGTTTGTATGGGGGAGTGTGTACCACAGCACGTGTGTGCAGGTCAGAGGACTCCCCTCTCATCATGTGGGTCCTGGGGATCCAACTCAGGTCTTTGGGTTTGGCAGCAAACATCTTTACAGCTGAGCTACCTCACTGGCCCATTTTATCATTCAAGTAAAGGAGGTCTGTCAGTGCACGGAGAACCCGGGGCCTCCCTTTGTCAGTTGGCAGAGTCTGAGAAGAAGACACATTACCACCCTCATGTGGTAATGTGACATGATCGCTGCTTTTCCATCCTCTGATGACTGTTTTGGCTCCCTTGAGGCCTGCCTGCCATCTTGCAGGGTGGCCCTCGCTGGCTGTCTTCCTGGAAAAGATGCTCCTCTGTCTGGTAAAGGTCAGTGGTATGGCCACACAGTGCCAATGGCATCCTTCCTCTTCAGGATCATTTGTAGAGTCCCACTGAGCTGGGCATGGTGACTCATGGCCTATAATCCCAGCACTCAAAGGACTGAGGCAGGAGGATTGTCATGAGGTTGAAGTCAACCTGGCTAGAGTGGGATCCTGTCTCAAAAGCAAAGGCTTGATCTCACCCACCCCCAAGTGCTCATCAATGGGGACATGTAGTCAGGTCCAGGTGACCTGGGCCATTCACCCCTAACCCCAGTATGGCACTTCTTCCCCTGACCCCAATGTGGCACTTCTTCCCTCTGGGGAAGACTTCTGCTGTTCCTTTACTTGTGGCCACATCATGTCCTGAACAAGGAGTTCCAGCCCTGTAGCCATGTCGGCTGTCCTGAACCCAGCCTCCCTGACCACACGGCCTCCGGCCTGGCCTCAGGGTGAAATACTTGGCTAGCCCTGCAGGGGGCACCCTTCTGGTGTCTGCTTTTCCCTGGCTATGCTGGGAGCTCTGGGGACTCTCATATTCATTTATCTTTCCTCCAGACATTCAAGAAGCAGTAGTCAGCTCTGCTATTGTTGCCTCTGACCGCTAGCCTTGGCCAGACGATCCTGCTGGATGTCAGGTTGAAACTGTCGGAAAGTTACTTGGGCTACTAGAGGAAGTGATGAAAGAGCTATAAATGATGTCAGCTTCACAACTGGCAAACGCTACATCTGGGGGAAAGTGAAGAGTCACAGCCGCATGAGCCCCCACCAGCCAGACACACAGGCCAATTAGGGCTGCTCCTCAAGACGACTCAGGGGTGTGGCTGCTGCAGCCCTGGGGGCTCCCCCTTTCCAACTCCCAAAGACACCGCGCAGATGGTGTCTGCCCAGACTTCTGAACCCCCTGTGGATTGAAGCAGGGATTTCCTCCTCCCCTGATTACTATTCCAGACTCTTTCTGTGAGCTGGGCCGGGCTCAAGGCCCTATTAGTGGGTCTGTGGTCTCTTTCCCAGCTTCCCCAGAGAACAGTGATGTCTGCAAGATGAGCAGCCCGTCTCCGGGATGCAGGGGCTCTCATCAACTTCACGACAACAGGAACTGAGCAGCTCTGAAACTCCAGCTGCCCCAAGTGCCTGGTGCTGATCTGCTCCCCAATCAGAACATTTGCTTTTCCTATCAGCCCCAGAGCTAATCAGACATGTGCCTGCATGAGATGGCCCGGGGCAGGGGACTAGGCAAGGGACTGGGCCAGCCCTGCCCTGCCCTCCGTGTGCACTAGAGGGACAGCCCTCCTTTGGATGCTGGCCAGGGTAGCAGGAATCTCAAAGAGTCTTATTAATAAAATCAAACCTGAGCCAGGTATTGGGGTAAATGCTGGAAGATCAGAGAAGCAGAACAAGCCACAGGCAACCTCACCTGGCCAACTTCTCAGCTGGTCTTGTTTCCTCAGACTGGAAGCTTCTATGTCCTCATCCCAATGGCTCTCAGCTGAACTGCTGCTCGAAAGCCTGAAAGCTTAACCAGCCACATGCTTAACCAGCCAAATGCTTCTAGTTTCTGGTCTTCACACCTTATATACCTTTCTGCTTTCTACCACCACTCCCTGGGATTAAAGGCTTGCTTTCTGGGATTAAAGGTGTGATGAGTCACCATGCCTGTCTGTATCCTTGAACACATGGATTTCTGCCTCTGGAATGCTAGGATTAAAGGTGTGTGCTACCACTGCCTTTCCTTTATGTTTAATATTGTGGCTGTTCTGTCTCTGACCCCAGATAAGTTTATTAGCATGCACAATATTTGGGGGAATATGCCGGGCGGTGGTGGCGCACGCCTTTAATCCCAGCACTCGGGAGGCAGAGCCAGGCGGATCTCTGTGAGTTCGAGGCCAGCCTGGTCTACCAAGTGAGTTCCAGGAAAGGCGCAAAGCTACACAAAGAAACCCTGTCTCGAAAAAACCAAATATATATATATTTGGTGGAATACAATACCACAGGCCAGTAGCCTTCATGCCACCTCTTCTACCTGAGTGTTCTTAAGCTTTCCTTCTGTCTCTTGATATTTTATTGAGTTTTTGGAAAGAGAAGAGTGGGGAGGGGGCAAGGGGAAGAGGGGGGACAGGTGTGATGGTACACACCTAGAATCCTAGCCCTCAACTAAAGTAGGAAGATTAATATGAAATTGGGTCCAGCCCGGGCTATATAACTCCTTCTTAAAAAGACAGAGAAAGAGCTGGAGGTGTGACTCAGTGGTTCAGATGCAGTACTGCTCTTCCAGAGAACTCAGGTTCTGTTGCCGGCACTTACAGTCATGTGCATAGCACACATATCTTTTCATTTAAAAGAGTAAAAAGAGAAAAAGAAGCAAAGAGACCCGTTCTTGGGGGAAGATAGTGGGAATTTGGGGTCTCCTCATAAACTTACTTTGATAAAACTAGAAGCTATGTCACCGCCCACCCAAAGGAGATGTACCCTGGCAGGCCCATCTTCGCTCAGTTGCCTGCCCTTAGCATCAATGAGTTAAGTACTTGTCATAGAGCGGAGTCCTCCCCAGCTTTCACCCTGAACATCAGTAGGAACGTGCTTGTCTGTGACCTGAGTGCACTCTGAATGTTTGTCTGTGATCTGAGTGCACTCTGAGGTGTCCCTGGTGGCCACAAACACTTTTACAGGTCCCACACAAGGATAGTTTCCTAGTTGCAGTGTGCTTTGCACTTGAATTTTAGAACAGGAATGTAAGTTCGCAAGTATGTCGGTGTGTGGTGTGTGTTTTTATGATTCTCAATGGGTTGAGAATTAAAAATGGGCTTTATTCTCTGAGGTGGTTTTTATTGTATATTGGTGGTTTCAGTGGACTATTTTTGTAACCCAGAAGTCTGCTAAGCTTCTGATAAAGTTTCAAGAGAGAGAAAATGTATCACTGTAATTTTAAAAAAAGGATTGTTGTTGTTGTTGTTGTTGTTGTTTTAATAAACTACTGTTTAGTTGCTGTAACATGGACTTCATCCCTTCTGAGACCTTTGACCTGAAGAGGACAGAGGGCATCAGAAAGGACTGGAAGCATGCGTTCTAAGCAGCAGGCAGATAGGTGGCCGTATGAAGGAAGGACCAGAAGTGGTCTGGGGCTGAAGCCAAATTGTAGTGATTGCTTGTTAATAAATGGTAAAGAAATCTTTTGGACTTCCTTCTTCACCCAGCACTTGGGAAGTGGAGGCAGGAAGATCAAGAGTTCAAGGCCAGCCCACTTACACAGTGAGTTCAAGGCCAGCCTGGGCTACATGAGGGTCAAAAAACAAAGAACCAAAAGTGTACACACGAAGCAGCAGGCTTCTCATTCTCACCCCATGCTCAGAGGGCAGAGATGGGTGTCGCCTGCCCTCACTGAGGCCGTTACATGGAGTTTCTTCATGGTGTGGACTCCATGTGATGGCACAGGACAGGGGACACCGGCAGGCACTTCTGCAGGATCTTTGGGACATTGTTGAGGATGCAGCTCACCATGTCTCCTTCAGAAACTCTCTGAACACGGAGGCGGGAGGGCTGAGCCCAGCCTGCGTGTGTGTGGCAGTATATCTCCACCCAATGAGCATCCTTGTTTATTCTGCCACAAGGCATACAGCGCTGCCCCAGCACCAGTACTGGAATCACAGTCCTTACTGAAAGGTCTTTTTGTGGGGTGCAGGGGCTCACACTGAGGTCCTTGCGTTTGTACAGCAAACACTACCATCTAACCCCAAAAGGTTTTTAGACAGCGGAATCCAACTGACCTCAAACTCAATATACTGATTAGGTTGGCCTTGAACTCCTGATGCTTCTGCCTCTGCCTTCTGAGTGTTGGGATTACTGGTGTGTGCTACCACACCCAGCTGCAAACAAAAATTTATTAGGGCTGTTTGTTGTTTTTTTTTTTTTAAATTGAGCTTCTTTGAAGAAAAAAAGACTCTAACTAGCTGTCTCTGAATTGTACCAAAGCCTTTGGAGAAATTCTGTTATAATCTTAGAAAAATACCCAGACTTCTTGATGGGGACTCTGGGCCCTGGCTGGGCACTAGGAAGGGAGAGTTTTGCAGGAGGTGTTGGGTGGGGACAGAAGTCCCTCCTGGTGCGAGCTGTGCCGGGTCTGAACCATGTCTCTTCTTCCCAGCAGACTCTCCCGTGGCCGCTGCTGTGGTGTCTCATTTCAACGACTGTCCGGATTCGCACACTCAGTTCTGCTTCCATGGGACCTGCAGGTTTTTGGTGCAGGAGGAGAAGCCAGCCTGTGTGTAAGTATCCCCTACTCTCCGGGGAGTGGTCAGGCACGCAGTTAAAAGTACATTTACCTCTGTGAGGCTGGCTAGGGATCTGAGACCCAGAGGACTGGGCAAGCTGATGGATGAGAACCGCCAACCAAGTGCCCAGGGTGGAAGAGGAATCCCAGGATGCCGGCGCTGGGATCTGTTTTCAACAGCTAACTCTGTTGTTAGAATTTAGTTCTCTACTTAGAGTTCCTGGGGGGCAGGTGTTGACCTGGGTGCCTGAACCTCTATAAGGAAGTTTCCATACACCAGCTACTTAGTACCCAGCCTGTGAAATGGCTGAACGGGCATGCAAAGGGTCTGCACACATGTCACACCTTGGTGGCTCCCATGTCCCTGGAGCCTCACAAAGTACTGCCAAGTACCTACCATGCAGGTGCTGAACCTCCTCAACACATTAGATATAAGCCAACAACAAGGACTGGGGGTGATTCAGAGGGTAAGGCACTTACCACTTAAGCCTGATGACCTGAGTTCAGATCCCCAGAACCCACATAAAAAAACCAGAGGCAGTAGGGTGTGTGTCTGACAGGGACCAACACTCAAGGTCATCCTCAGATCTCCACATGTGTGTCATGGCATACACACACACACACACACACACACACACACACACACACACACACACGGAGCCATAGTAATTGCCACAGACAGTGGAGTTAGAGGAGAAAGGCCCTGGAGGAAAGGCACTCGGCGGATGTGGGGCTGACCAATGGACAAGCAGAAACGTGTCCAGACCCAGGGTTCCACGGGCTACTGCAGGTCAGAGCCCACAGCAGGGAGGCAAAAGATGCAGTCAGAGGCCAGGGCCCGTTAGGAGTGAGCCCTTACCCTCTGGGCAGTGGGAGCCATGTAAGCTCAGAAAGACATATTTGCAGGTGTTCATCTGTCTGGGTGACTGTGACAGGATGCACATAGATGGGTCTGTCACAAAATTCACCTCACGTCATCGAGCTCTCCTATTTCCAAGAAAGGTCTGGGCATTTTCCTCTGGCATGTGAACCATCCTCCAGAGAAAGGTCAGGGTTGGTCCTATGGACTCTTTACAAGCCTTCTTCAGGGCCAAGGGCTGAGAATAGGACATTCTGCCTACCTAGGAAAGCCAAGGCCATGGAAAACAGTGACCACCCTCTTCTCAGCTTCCCTACTGGATCTTGGTGGCCCAGGGGCAGGATTCTGCCTGCAGACATGTTACTATGACAGGTGACACTGTGTGTTCTTCTCTGGTGGCTCTAAGTCCTTGTGTGCATCTTAGAAGTTGGACTTCACACTTCCCAGCAGGTGGTCAGCTTCTCTTGACTCAACAGAAGACGCAATGCTGGCCTGACCTCCCGTGGGTAGACCCACACATCACCCAGCCATGGCTGTCCTCTCCGGCTCTCTGGTTCCCACCTTTCCTGAGTGTTCCTGACACCAAAGCAGAATGTTGGTGTCTGTCACCTGCCACCATCTCTGTTAGCTTATGGTCAACCCACTGGATCTCTCCAGCCATTCAATGGCCCCTGAGTGTTGTGAGTGACTGGCCTTTAATCCTCAGAATGTCCCTTTGGCAACAGAGACTGTGGGGAACATGAGGGCCGTTCCCTGCCCTCTGCACAACACTCTGGGGACACAGAGCTAGTGTGTCTGAACAAGGCAAGTTGTCAGGCCTGGAGACCTGGTGAGGTTTGCTTTCCTACCCCTTCTGGTGCATCAGCTCTAGGAGACAGGACCACACCTTGCACCTTTTTTACATTTATAGTCACTAGAAGAATGTTCTAGCTACCTAATTCCCACCGGACCAGAAACTCTGAGTCTCTACAGAGAAAGCCAGAACATTCTGTCCCTGCTCTGAAGAACCTCCCAGCTTTGAGGAGCTGACATACTCAACATTCTGGTCAATAAAAATGACATACCTTGAGGTAGCGCCCCATCTGTCAGGGCCTCGTAAAGAAACCCCAGCAAGTTGAGAATGTAGTACAGAGGTGGGTACAGCTTCTTAGCAGGCTCTCCCAGAAGAACAAAGCCATTAGGTTTTCAGAAAATCTAAAGTGACATTTCATACTCTAAAACTAGAGAATGAAAAAAAAAAAACCCACGAGTCAGACATTGTGAAAATTATTCTCAAACGTGTTTGCTTCGTTCAACGGCAGGAAGATATGCAGAAACAGAAAACTGTGGAGATGTAAGGCCAGGGGCCACCTGCCCTTTTACCAAGGTGGCGTGGGCAGGTGGTGGGTCTGCTGCCTTGAGGAGGCAGAATCCACACAGGTGACAGTGTGAGGAACCACAGGAGACTGAAGTTTCCCACCTGCCCTGAATGTTCCTGGTGACTGACAGAGACCCCAGAGAAACACAGCTCTGTCAGTCAAAGAAAACATTCCCCTTCTCTCTGCGCTTCCTGGCCACTCTGGCCACAGTGCACAGCAGTGAGTCTGAACAGTCAAACACCTAGAGAGAGTGGACCCCAGGTGGCATTCCAGCACAGGCAGACAACCCTGCAGCCACAAGAGATCAAATCCAGGCAGGGGACTTGCTCTTGGCATGGGAGCCCCCTCAGGCAGCTCCATTGTTAGCCTCTGAACACCAGTGGGGGTGGGTAGCATGACATCACCCCCACAACCGGACTGGAGAAAACTATGCCTTGGGTTTATTCTCTCCCCACCTCCACCCAAAGCAGACAGTAAGGGTCGCTCTGGATCTGGGGGTCAGATAGACCTGAGTTCAAACCCAGATGAGTGTCCCATACAAGTGGCCTGGCCTCATTTAACCTCAGACTCCCCTCAAGGACCAATACTTCAAAAATGCATGGGACTCTGGCAATTCCTGCTGTGCCCCTGGACACACGCAGCTATTCACATTTATTGATTTAATTAAATAGGGTTTAGTTTTCTGGTCTATGGCCACCTTTGAAGCTCTGAACACCTGGAGGTGGCAGGAGGTGAATTCTGTAGTCACCACTGAAAAACTCCAGGAGACTGCCCAGGTGCTGCTCCCAGCACAGCATGAGCAGACAAGGTTTGCCAGAGAAATTTGCGCAGGCATCACCTTCCCCCTGGCTCGGGGACAGCGAAGGCGTCCCAAGAGACCCTTGACTCTGAGCTGAAGAGGAAGAAGCCCTGACCTCCCAGCCCCATGGAAGAAAGAACAGGACCAGGTGAACCCAGGCCTTTTTGTTGTTGGGGATGGAACCCAGGGCCCCACACACGCTAAGCAAGAACTCTGCCACGGAACCACACCCAACCCTGAATCCATTTCTCCAGAGAGCAAGAAAAGGTGAACTCGGTCCTCCTTCCACCAGTCCTAGGGAATCCACTCCCAGCCCAGCCCTGTGGGTGGTGCAGAGTAAGTACACGCTGATACAAAGTGTGTTCAGAGACAGTTTCACCCTGGTTCTCAACCCTCAGGCTCCAATGCCTGCCTTGAGACCGGTGCTAAAGGACTCAGAGAGTCACCAGGGTATCGGCCGCCTGCCAGAGCACATCACAGCATATAGAGACCATGTGGCTAAAGAGACCTAAAAATGTTCCCTTTGTGTGTGTGCGTGCGTGTGTGTGTGTGTGTGTGTGTGTGTGTGTGTGTGTGTGTGTGTGGCACGCACATGTATAGGCAAGGCAGGTTCAAGTTCATGTGCGCAAGTGTGTATGGAAGTCAAAGGTCAACCTCAGCATTGTTCTCCAGATTCTGCCCACCTTGGTGGGTTGGGATTTTTGTTGTTATTGAAGATTATTCTTATGTATGAGTGTGCGTGCATGCACACCTTGTATGCTGTGTGTGTGTGTATGTGCCTCGTGTGCTTTGTGTGCCTTGTTGTTATGGATGCTCTCAAAGGTGTTGAATCCCCTGGAGCTGGAGTTACAGGCAGTTGTGAGGAGCTGTGTGGGTGCTGGGAAACGAACTCGGGTCCTCTGGAAGAGCGGCAAGTGCCCTTAACAACTGAACCTTCTCTCTATCCCCACCATGTTTGTTGAGACAAGGTCACTCACTGGCCTTGTAACTGGACAAGTTGTTTAGACAAGTCCAGGGAGGCGCCTGTCTATGCCTTCCCAACACTGGGATCACAAGCATACTCAAGGCCCAGCTTCATGTGAGTTCTGGGGGCCCAAACACTGATCCTCCTGACTGCATAGCAAGAACTTTACCGCCTAAGCCATCTCTCCAACCCCCCCTTTATTTTTTGAGACAGAGTCTCTCCCTGGCCTGGAGCTCACTCAAGTAGGTTAAGGCAGCTGGACACTGAGCCCAGGAATCTGCCTGTGTGCTGGGATTACAAGCCCTCCCCTTGATTGGGGGGATCGAACTCAGGTCCTCAAACTGCAAGGCAAGCCCCTTCCAACCGAGACGACTCCACACCCCATCCTCTGCTATTTGATTCCATCTTTAACAGAGATAGCCTGCCTTTGGGTCTGGCGCCGCTTACCGCAATGCACAAGGCTCCTTTAGTGCTCTAACTGGGAGGCGGGTCTCACCTGCGCTTCATTTTCAAGATGTGGAGTGTGTGGTAAAGAGCAGTTACTGGCTCCAGGTCACACAGACAGGAAGTGAAGAAGGGCTTTGAATCCAGGCCAAGCTGGCTACAGAGCCTGTGCCAAATCGAGCTCCTGTCCTGAGGATGTAATCTGAAATACAAACAAAGTATCTTTGAGTACAGAGATAACGTCCAGCCTTGGTTACATATCACACCAGGCACCGTCTGGGTGGAAAGAATTTGGTGAAACTAAGGTGCAAGAATTACTGTGCTCCATTTGAAGTGGCTTTGCGAAGGATTTTTGTTTTCTGTTTTGTTTTGTTTTCTTTCCTGTGCTGCTGGGAATCGAACCCAGGTCTTTGTGCACGCTAGGCAAGCACTCTTGCTCTGAGCGACATCCTCAGCCTGGTAGAACTCGAGATTCATGTTTGTGGTTTCTTTTCTTATCAAGTTTGTTGTTATTGTCATTTGTTTGTTTTTCTTTCTCTCTCTTCCCCCCTCTCTTTTACTATTTTACAGTTTCATACATTTATGTAATGAATTTTAGTCATTTACACACACACACACACACACACACACACACACACACATACACACACACACACACACACTACTGGTGCCATGGCAGTAGTATGAACTTTTCTATGTTTATTATATTTTCTATGCTTCCCAATGCGCTTAAAGCATTCCTTTTCTAGTTGGGGAAATTTTTCCTTAAAGAAAACCTTAACATTTGACGGCTGTGGTTTTCATATTTCATAACATTTTTCAAGAGCGCTACGAGCCAGGCATGGTAGGAACTTAGGGTGGCCCAAAAGCTATCCTTGAAGGAGAAAGAGAGATGTCATCGACAGTTAAAACAGAGGGGCCTGCAGCCACGGCACTGCAGCCACGGCACTGCTTTTAGGGAAGGCTCCACGGCAGCTGCCAGCCTTACCCACCAGCAGGCACAGCCCAGCTCCCCGACCCCGGAGGCACAGGAGAGTGTGGGCAGCCATCGCTTATCTGCAGCCCTGGAGTCCTGCAGCCCAGCCGGCCACCCGCTCTTCTCTTCCTTTCTTTGTCCTTATTGTGGGGAAGCAACCTGAAAAGGGTCTGAATTACAGAAGCCAGAGAGCAGTGCAGACGTGTGTGTCTGACAAGCAACCAGCTCAGGCCCAGCAGACCTATCCTGCGTGTGTAAATGGTCCCATGAGGAAGGCGCCAGTCTCACAACTCTTTCCCCCTTTGTAAAAAGCTTATATCATCCAGATTCTTTTCATAAAGGGAGGTGCGGCCCCTCTCTGTCCCTGTTGTCCAGTGCCTGGCACAGGGGTGTACTTTCCGCTATCCCTCTGGGACAGTGCTGAAGGGAGGTGGGGGGGAGGAAGGTAGAGGAGGGACCAATGCATTTTTAACTTGGTTCTAGATTCCAGGCCCGTCCTACCTCTGTGCTTCTCGGGCCTGTATGCACGCTGCAGTCACCCAGGTGGCCAGACTGAGGGTATGGCCTCGGACCAAGCAGTTTCTAGAACACCCAGGTGATTCTGCTGGGCCTGCCAGAGGTAGAAGCAGCAGCAGAGTGAGGGTGTGACTCATCTGTGGCCAGGTGAGGTGACACTCCTCCCTCCTTGTGTGACTTGTGCTTAAAATAATCGGCATAATTAAGTCTAATATTAGAAGACTGGGAATTAAAGAGGAGATGAGATGTCAGTTTGGGTCTTTTTTCCCCACTCATAAAGAACTACTAAGACGCAGGGCATTTTGTAGGTCAAAGCCTGCCCTGCAGGAGTGAGAGGCTGGGGAAAGAGGGTGGGCACACGTGGGTTCAGGTGTTCAAAGATGGACAGGGTCTGGGAAGCCCTGAGTGAGGCACAGGGCAATGGGCAGGCTGGTGAGGGGGTGAATGAGTGAGTGTAGAAAGCACGTGGCTTTTGGAGAATGTGGTCTGTGGAATGCAGAGTGGGGTGAGTAAGGGACTGGATTACCTGAGGTGTCCAGGCACCCATGTGTGGCCACCTGTGCCTACATCTACCCCTGGGCTAGCAGGGACCGTGTGGGCCACTTGACCTGGCAGGATGTTGTAGGGAGGGGTAGATTAAGACCCTGCATGGAAGAGATGTCAACATCACAGAAAAGGTACCTCTAACTCAGGTGGACTCTGGAAAGTAGGGACATCAGCACAGAGTTAGAACTTGAGAATGGGCTGAGAGAACCTGTTCAATGTTGTCTAGACATGGATAACTCAGAATGTGTGTGGCCCAAGCCAACAGCTGATCACCAACCAGCTTGGGGGGGGGGCGCGGAATCTGTTCTGTTCACTATTGTTTTCCCCCATCTGCCACCAGGGGAAAGGCCAGGGGCTACCAGGCAAGCTGTGTCTCCTCTCTGCCTCCCCCCCAGGTTTTCTTTCTTTTTTTCTTTCTTTCTTTCTTTTTTCTTTTTGAATTAGACAAAATCCTGTCTCCATCCCACTGCACTGAGCCATGAGGGTCAGTGTACACAGCCTGTCTATCTAGGTTCTTAGGGCGTCCTTTTATTTCCCTGCTTGCCCTGCCTAGCTTTCTTATTTACCAAGGATACAAGCCCTTTACACCACATGCAACTTAAACGTCTTTTCTACTTTTCAAGATAAGATGCTAAACCATAAGCCTACCATCTTGGCAAAGGAGAGGGAGCCAGACCCCAGTCTTGGACTTGGTGCAAATGCCCTTCAAGTCCCCAGAACAGGTGCAGGGGAAGGGTGGCTTGACTTTTTCACGACAAGATTAAATGAGCAAACACACCACACATAAAAAAGCCCCAACCAAAGAACAAGTAGCCAAGCCTGGTGGTGCACCTCTGTCTTCCAGGCATTCCAAAGCTGAGGCAGGAGGATGACGAGTTTGAGCTAGCCAAGGCCACATAGCCAGACCTTGTCTCAAAACAACAATAAACTCAAGTATGTGAGCTTCAACTAATAGCCACCTCTGGGTGAGTCAGCGAAGGGTGCGGACCCTGTATCCCAGGCTGGAGCTGCTGCAGAAATGTTCAGCATCTCCTGGCTGCCATTAGCCTTAAATCCTTACAACACCTGTCCCTTCACCATCCAAATGCTGATGTTGAGCCCTCGAAAAAAAAAAAAGCTTTGATCTGAGAAAACATGCCTTTCTGAGAGCTGGGCCTGACAACTGAGGAGACAGGACTCAGGGGTCCCACCTGGAATGACTCTGGAGCTAGCCTGGCACAGTGGCCGGTGCCCCAGGGAGGCCGTTGAGCCCAGGATCCTTTCTATGTTCTTTGTTCTTTAAATCCCTTTTACCTGACAACTGCAGGTTACAAGGCAATCCAAATATAGACTTAAAAATGTTTGCTACCTTAGCCCTGGTTAGAAATATATATAACATAAATTTAAATTCAGTGTGTGATATAAGGCTGCTCCTCAAGGAAGCTTCCTGCCCGAGAGGGTTGGAACTCAATATTTACATTGAGGATTTTAAAAAGGGACCAGGGTGTCACCTCATTTACTTTTCTGTTAACAAGAGTCACATGCTTGGAGGAATGCCAGGAAAGCAAGTGGCCCATATCTCCGTATGGTCGGCCCATCCTGCAGACCCATCCGGTGAGCAACCTGTGCACACAGGAGGCTGCTTTGGCAAGACAGAGCCAGAGAAGCTGGGGATGCAGCAAGAGCAGTGATGAATGTGCTGGCGATGCACGCACCAGCACGCACCAGCATGCACGTCCGCACTTGACCTCCTTACACCTTTCCTCACGGTGCAGAGGTCAGGCGCGTTTCATTGGGTGCCAACACACAGGATTTCACAGGAGTCTGGAGGCTTCTCCAGCCCTGATGTAACCAGGTGACAGTGCCAGGCCCTCATCCCTTCCTGGAGGGACCAGGCTATGCACTGAGCCACCCAGGAATTGTCCTTGGGGCTAATTGAACTTGAAGAAGACAGGAAAGCCAAGCTCAGACTATGCATCTAGTGTGTTTTCTTTCATTCAAAACTCTAAATAAGCAAATTTGGTTTTAAAATAACATGGATTTGGGCTAGGCATGATGACACACGCCTTTAATCCCAGCACCCGGGAGGCAGAGGCAGGTGGAGCTCTGTGAGTTTGAGGCCAGCCTGGTCTATGGAGTGAGTTCCGGGACAGCCAAGACTATATAGAGAGACCCTGTCTCAAGCAAACACACAAAAAACACCTACATTTGAAACTGAGGAAACAGCTCAGTTGGTAAAATGCTTGCCACAAGGCTATGAAGACCTGAGTGCAGATTGCCAGCACCCATGGGGGAAAAAAAAACTGGTGCAGCAACCTATATAAGCCCATAGCTGAGGAGACAGGGGTGGGGGGGGTCCTTGGAACTTGGCAGCCAGCCAGCCTTGCCATATAGGTGAAGTCCAGATACAGTAAGAGACACAGTCTCCAAAATAAGGCAGAGGGTGACAGAGAAAGACACCCAACATTGACTTCTGGCCTCCGCAGACATGCACACACCCATGCACCTGCACCAGCATGCACACAAGCATGAACAGGCACGCACAGAGTTTCATCACCTATCAAAATGAAGCTCTTGCCCTCAACGCTGCCATTAGCACTCAAGAGTTGGCATAAGGACAGTGATCACAAGTGCACCCTTGGTGAAGAGGGCAGCCGTTTCTCCTCCCCTCAGCAAGCAGCACTGAGGCAAGAAAGGGGGACTCATTGCCTCACACCTGCGTCTCCAGTCACAGAGGATGCAGCGGCCCTTGGGGGCTTGTCCAACAGGCCCCAGATCCTTCCAGCTCAGCTTGGGTGAACAAGCCCCTCTGTCAGAAGCAGGCTAACATTCCTTTCTCCCGCAGCTGCCACTCTGGGTACGTGGGTGCCCGCTGCGAGCATGCAGACCTCCTGGCCGTGGTGGCTGCCAGCCAGAAGAAGCAGGCCATCACTGCCTTGGTGGTGGTCTCCATTGTGGCCCTGGCTGTCCTGATTATCACCTGTGTGCTGATCCAGTGAGTATTTGCCACCCCCGAACTCGGGTCCCTCACCTGTCTGCCTTGCCAGGAGCATCTGGAGTATGGCCACATGAAAGGGCCACCAGCTCATTGTTGTGACAGGAGAGTGACATCAGCTGACCTAAGAGGGTAGTTAATGTCTCTCCACATGGTGTCGGGCAATGTGTGCAAACACCTGGAGCATGGGTGATTGCCAGCAGTGGTGCTGGGCTCTTCTAGAAGTCATGTCAAATCTAAGACATGCTCCACTACTGCCTTTGAACCCAGAAAACTTATGAGCTGGGCAGAGGCTCCAGAGAGAGCTGGAAACAGCCCCCAATGCCCTTGGTCCACAGAAAAAGTGCTTCCTCCCCGCAGAAAGCATTTGACAAATTCTAAAGTTACATCAGAGGCTCCTGATGCGGTTAGTGTACACTGGTGTCGTCACCCTCAATGGCCTCCCTCTTTCTCCACCACCACCCTCTCATCCTCTAAACTGCATCCTGCAGGAAGCTGTGCTGAGCCCCAGGTCAAGGGAGACTACAGGAGTGTCTTATCCTATTAGCTTGCCCATAGCTGCCAACTGGCCTGGCCAGTACAGCCAGAGCCCTAGATACACAGTGCTGTATTCCCAGCAGCGGACATCAAGCCAGACTTATATCCCTGGAATGGTTTAGTGCATAGCAAAGAGCTCAGAGGATTCCTACATAGTTTGAATTGGCACAGGACGTTTCTCAGTGGAAGGCAGCCTGTCAGCACAGTTCAGGTTGACCCAAGGCTGGGGTTGCAGAGGGCACAATGGCTATTTTGATGAGGCTGGGTATGAAAGCCGTGCCAGGCTTCAGTCCTCCAAGGCTGGCCAGATGGCGCACAGACCAATAAGAGACACTGTCCTGGAGTGTTGCTGCTGTTAGGACATCTGAGGCACAAGTCCAGTGACACTCGGGGACTTGGGCACCTCCGAGAGCATCATGGCCTCCAGCCCCAGGGTCTGCTGGTCCTAGTCCTCACGTCTGTTCTAAGGCCATTGCTACACTGGCAGAATTTCTCAGTTGGCCCTTTATGGAGACAGCAAGCAGCCAGGTGGCTGGCCTGTCCCCTCAGCCAGCTGGGGAGTCTGGAGCCAGGTGACCCAGGGAGTCTGTGCTACAGCAACAGTGCTGACACTCTGCAGCAGCCAACAGGTTCTCTGAGGCTGCTCGGTAACCGTCCAGGTCCTCGGGGTCCTGAGGTGGCGGGTGGTCTGAAAGGCTGAGTGAGCACCCCGGGCTGCCCAAGCGGGGCTCTCCTGCCAGGCAGGGGCAGCTCAGCCTGTCCCTTCTGTCACCAGCTGCTGCCACGTCCGCAAACACTGTGAGTGGTGCCGTGCCCTCGTCTGCAGACACGAGAAGCCCAGCGCCCTCCTGAAGGGAAGGACTGCTTGCTGCCACTCTGAGACAGGTACAGGGCGGCTTCCCGGGGAGATACTGGTGGGTGGAGGAAACGGCCACCCTTTTCCAAGTTGGCACAGAGGTGCTGAGACAAAACAGGAGGGAAGCGCGGGGCTGTTCTCCCACACCACTCCTGACAGGGGAACTGGCCAGGCTGAACCGCAACCCTCCTGACAGACGTATCTCCCCCGACCTCCTCACTGCCCTAACTCACCGTTCTCTGTCACAAAACCCCACCCCCTCTTCTGTAATTCATGTGCTGTCTGTCACTGAAAGCATAGTCCCAGAAGTTGATGCCCCTGAAGCTGGCCTAGAACTGGGCCTGGCTGCTGAGAGAAGCCAGTGGCGTTGGATAATGTTGCCTCAAAGCCTCTGTTCCAAGCTTGTCTCGCCAGCATGGCTTGGGCCCACGTTGTTCACCCTATTTTTCTTTTCTGCCAGTGGTCTGAAGATCCCAGGGGAGGAATTTGGCCAGGTGGCCTATGGCAGCCCACCGATGGAAAAGCTTCTTGGGACACCATCACCAGCCGTGCCCAGGCACCTGGGACGTGCTGGCAGACCTTCCCCTCAGCGCACAATCGCCTGTGCGGCCTTCTGGCCTCTGCGGGCCTTCAAAACTGTGTGATAACTCTGCCTGCTGGGTTTCCTCAGCGCACCCTCGAGAAGAGGCCAGTAGACCATGTTTTCAGACAAGTTGAACAAGAACCTCAAAGAGCTGGCCTCCTTGCTAACCCACACCAGGCATGTGCTTGGGTTGGACTCCAGGCTGTTTCTTCTCAATGGGCCATCTGGTCCCAGCAGAGACTCCATGGTTGGTGTACACAATGGACAAGGGAAAAACGTCTCTTGTTGTATGAAGACAGTGTGGCCTCCTATGAGCCTTGACATCTTCTCAAGCTGTTGCCAGGATGTGTGTCTTATTTATTAGATGGATAACGGTCTTATTGGTAATCTTGTAAGTCAATGTCAGGCATCCGCATTAACGATCCGTAAGTGGCTGGCTGTGAAGTTACACCAGCTACAGATGTCCAGCCACTTTGATAAAGCAGGACTGCAGGGAGAGCGGCCTCCTGGGGGCTGTGGAGACAGCATTCAAAAGTGCATTCTGATGGGAGCAAATCTGCTATTTGGAGGTTATGCCCTCTAAGATACAAAGCAGGAACGTCCCCCAGATACACACTGTAGCAAAGTTAGCAAGGCCAGTGACAGAGAGAGTCACCCTGATGGGGACAAGAACACAAGAGAGCCTATGTGGACACCTAGGGACAGACGCACATACCAACACTTGATTAAGTGGATTAACTTCCTCGTGAGCTCCAGCATTAGCAGTGAGCTGCGGGCCAAATCCACGAAGGGGGCCAGCCCTTTGTTTTTCATGCTGTTGCCTTGGTTTTTGCTTCATTTTTAGGAGAAATTTAACTTCCCTATTTATTTTCAAGCATTAGGATAAATATCCCACGGTTGTTCTTTGTTTTGTTTTGTTCCCTTTCAGAATGTTGGCATTATTAACAAAATTGCTACCAAGCCTCTCCACTGCCCTCTGGAGAAGGAGATGTGTTCCCTGAGCAGCCGAGGGTGCTCTGACCCATGCATTGGGCCCACCCTCATCCCTGGGCTGCTCTGTACTGTCTGGAGACAGAAGGACAGTAACTACACAAAGCTGCTTATTGAGAAGGCCACGCTCTAACGCCGAAATGCAAGGCCTGCCCCTGTCAACCCTCCAGAGTCCCTAACAATGCCCTGGAAGGGGGCACTGGACATACCAAGTCTGCTTATTTTCCATCAGCAAGTTTTGCCTGTTCCTCGTTCTTCTTCTCCATTCCACCTTTTTCTATGGATTTTTTTTTCTCTTCTCATATGATCTAGGCATTGATCTGCCCCAGGTCTTAACCTGGCACTCTTTGTTCATGTTGCCTGGCGCCCCAAAGAAGAAACTGGGTCTGTTCAGTGCTGTCCTCTAACTCCACAGCTGACACGGCTCCATTTTTGTTATTTTATTATTATTATTATTATTATTATTTTGGTTTGGTATTATGTTTCTTTGTGTGAGACAAGGTCTTGCTGTGTAGCCCAGGGTAGCCTTGAACTCGAGGTCTTCCTGCTCCAGCCTCCTGAGTTCTGGGCTTACAGGTGTGTACCACCATGTCTCACAGAGTTTTTCGGTTTTTAAAGAAAGTATGTTAAGTTTGCATTCCTTGGGTCATCCATGTGGGTCAAGGCCAAGTGTAGCCCGCTGCTCAGAGACCAATCAACTGCACTGGGCTCTAGACCTCTATTGGCCCCCAGCATTCTCAGCAGACCCTGCCTGAAGTCCTGGGGCATGGGGACCAGCACAAATGGAGGGCTTGTTTTAATTCAGTTCACAGTTATCTTCATCTCTTTTCTGGTCTGTTGGAGGCTCCTGGATGTCTGACTTCTTTTAAAGAGTTTGAACTGGTATCAAAGTATTAATGGGAATTTCTTCACTAATGTCCCATCCTAAAGATGTTACCAGGAATTATTGTCCAAGACTCAGCAGAGATGGGGAAAAATGAGGATGAACCCTTGATGGTGGAAGCAGAGGATCCTGGGGAGCACCTCAGCGTGGGATCTGAACATTGCAGTTCTCGAGTCTAGCCCGTCAGAGCAGCCAGTAGCCCTCGCCCCCTAGAAGTGCCTTCCCAGTCAGGCCTTTTGCAAAGCAGTGGGTCTGCAGAGTCAGAAGCTGAGGCTGGGTTGAGACAAGTCTGTTTGCACATCATCCCTGCCCCAGCATATGACAGGCCTGCTTTTTGGTGACTTTGGTTCTGGAAGTCAGACAAATGCTGTGTTCCTTCCTGGGCCATCTCACAGCAGAGATAGCCCTGGTTAGCTGTACCAGC